TATATATATATTTATATATATATATCAGACTATAGTAAAATTTACCGTGCTTTTAGCTCTACGGACACAATAAAAAAACTCTATAATTTTACCGTAGTACTTAATAATAATTTTGGGTAAATTAGCAGCAAAATTTGGATTTATAATATGCCATCAATTTTTCAGATGAGGTTAAATTTGGTAATTAATCATGCTAGCTTTGAGCATGCCTTGAACATTCTTTTTCAATTATATTTACTGTTCAATCTGCTGTAAGTGCTGTAATTTTTAAAACTAAACTTTTCGGTTGACCTTCCTAATAAAAAATGGAGAATTTACCAAATAAAGTTTAAACTCCGTATATTTTAATTTTATCAGCCAGAATAAGGAGATTTTTTCTAGAAATGTCATTACCATACAGTGATGTAATTTTACCACAATTTTTTTCTCTATTTGTATGATAACTTTTTAGAATAAACAGAAAGATGTATGTGATTGTCTTACAACAATGATTTATGGCATAACATTTATTAATAAGCCTAAAAAATGCCAGTCATCTCCTCTACACTAAGATACGAAAATATTGAGAATCGTGATTATTTGCCCAACGAAATTCTTATCAATATATTGAAATAAACATTTTACTGATTTTATAAATTCTAAATATTCAAAAAATTTTAATGGTACAATTACATTTTGCTTTAAAGAATAATCATTTGGTAAACTGTCGTCGGCAATACAAACTCATAACGTCAAATTAATTTGAACAAATAAAACAAATATAAGATAAGTGTTTAAAAAATAGAACACTATTTTCAAAATTACACCTGTCTTTAAACTTAATAATTCAGAATTTATCATTCGATGATGATTTTTATGTCATTAAATAACTGAAAGGTTCGTGTGATTATTACAATAGTTCGTGAGATAGCATCTATATCTTGATTTGATGGAAATTTGTAAGTTGAATCTTAGATTTTAAAATAAAATGAAAAAGCATTGCTATATGCAAATACAATTTTGATATTTTAACACTCGAGAAAAAATCTTTATTGTTTTAATAAATTTCAGAAAGTTTCCAAAACAGTCGTAGAAGCATCATTTTTGGTTTATATAAGGAATAATAACTCACTAGCGTTTTCCTTGTAACCTCAAAATAGTTTAACAAAATAAAAAGAGCAAAACAGAATGCAATTTCTCATATTACAACGACAAGAGAATCGGAATTTATTCACAGCATCAGCTACTTAAAATCGCACTTAGTTCACTTAATGACGTTTACAAAGCTGTCAGATTTCGAAATAGTTGATGTTATTTCAGTGTAATTTTAATATTTTTCCTGATTCCGCAATAATTGGATATTTGAAAATCATCTTGCTTCTATGACATTTCAATTTTGATATGATTTATTGCTTTCACTAATCTGACCTGATTAAACAGCAAAGAAAGACGAAGTAATAGGAAAAGTATTAGAACGCTGAAACTCTTTTTGAAAAAATCCATATCTTTGTAACCAGTAACGTAAGTACAAAAATAATAAGATTAGATTATCAATTAGAATTTATCAATTCGACTACTATGTAATAAGAATCATGAAAATTAGATTATTATTATTCTAATAAGTTGAGGTATAATAGTTAAAGTGTGACGAACTCAGTAATTACATACATCACCAAAATCATTTTCAAGATTGATGATTTATTATTTGTTTAAGTTAAAGAAAGTCAGAATTCAATTACTCAATTATAAATATTTACGTCGCAATCATATGATTACTTAAGTCTTAACAAAAATTTAGAAAATATTAATAGCAATATAGTCTAAACAGTTTTTATTCCGAAAAGCATTTCGTCCAAACTGATGTGTATTTTTATAAAAAACTCTACGATATCTATTCGAAAAATTGTCTGCTTAACTTATATTTCATTTAAATTTAAATAATGTATTATAATTGTAAAAAGGATCCTTTTCTTGTATAAAAATAAATTTCACAAACATGCATGTTATAAATCAGCATGAAGTTGTTTGAAATTTGATATAGATTTAGTAACTTGGTCTTTGGCAGCTATTACTTAATTACGCAACTATTAATTTAATATTAAATTAATCTCGGAGCTCTTAATTTAATGTTACAATGCGAAGGCTTTATCATATTTTGAAATCATTTACATTTTACTTTAATTTAATATCATATGAATTTAGAATCATTATACTTAATGCGGTTAAAGCGAAATATCAAATAATGAAAGATCAAAATTACTTTATATTTATGTTAAATAATTAATAAAAGAAATGTATAAATAAAAATAAGTGATAAGATAAATAATAAATAACATAAAATGTCCCATTGGTATATATTTCCAAACAGATGATTTATTTTTTAATGCAAAAAAAGGTGCGAATTATTAAAAATATTACAAAACTATTTAAAAAAATTAATAAATTTGAAATATTAAAATTTTAATTTTTGAATTATTAATTGTGAATTATTAAAGATATTCTTGAAAAAATTTATTACAAACTAAACATTTAATTAAACAAAATTTATTTTTATTGGTTAATTTATGTTCCAGGAGTCTGAACATAAGAAAAAAAACATGCACAAAGTTTTTGTTATTCTGTTACTTTTTGTGCTTGTTGGAACTGCTTATATGCAATGCACAACTGACTGCAGTGCGGCTCAATGCGAACGAGAAAAATGCAGTGAAAGTGAACGAGATGTAAGAGGAAAATGTGATTGTTGTCCTGTCTGCGCACCGTTCTTTGGACCATGATGTAACTATCAAAATCATATCATATTTTTTTTAAAAATAAAGCAAGCTTTAAATATTAGTAGAATTGTATAATTAAAAAAAAGTATTACAGATCTTGAGAAAATGTTATGATCAACTAATGGAAATGGAATAGTGAAAAGAATATTTGAATTAAAAAGAATATGAATAATAGATTACCTATTTTAATTTCAAAGTATTTTCGAAAGTAATGTTGCATAACTTTTTTAAATAATTTAAATTTAAATATTAAATTTAAATATTAAAAATATCTCAGCATGCCACGTTAATTATTTAATTTTCTGTAGAAAGTTCTTTAAAAGCACATTAAATATTTTTTATCGGCGTTAAATATGAAATGAATTCACAATTTTTTTTCACTTTATTTAAAGTCGTAAATTTTGAAGAATAATAAATTAGCTCTATAAATGGTCCTTTGATTTATTTGCTCAATATGAATGAATGTTTTTATTTTTCGTCTTTTTTTAATTTTACTAGCTATCTTTAAATAAAAAACTGATTTTCAAACTTATAAATACGTGGTAATTTCTGGTTAATTGACCATACAGGAGAGATGGTTGTCTAATCTTGCTGTAATATATTGTTTCGATATATATTTCTGCAATACATCTGCTGCAATACGTCTGCTCCAATATATTTAAAAATACCTCAAATATTTATAAATGCATTGCAGCTGATGCAGTATCGCAGGCAGAAATTTATTTTTAATTTATTTATATCAATGAATCTTTTAATTTCTATCAAACAATACATTAATTTGGACAAATCGTTTCGTTTCGCGACAACATAAGTATGTGAAATTTTTATTCTTCATTTCATTTCAGGATCAAATAAGATTCTAGAATTAAGTATTCTGTTGTTTTTACGAAGAATAAGTTATATTTTTTATACTAGATGGACCTTTAAAGTGCGTACATAGTCCGATCTTTGTTCTTGACTAAAACGCAGATGAATATTATAAGGAAGAGTTGTTATAAATTCAGCGGGAATCTCATTATTGACTTCAAGGAAAAAAACCACACAAAATCGAGGAGTGAGGTTGATTTTTCATTAATCATTGTCATATGAAGGATTGTTCATAGTTAGAGTCCTTAAAATGCATCATCCGCAAAGTAAATTGTTTTTGTGCATATTTTTGTACCATAATTTTGATAGTATGTTTAATTAATTACAGTGATTTTACACTAATTGTTACTGTAAAATAAAGACTCATTAAATATCTTTATTTCAAAAATTTTACCGTAATTTTAATTGAAATTCTAAACAGTGTAGGTGATTTAACGTTGTTCATTAATTACATTGCTGTTCTATACATCTATAACCAGGATAACATTCTTGCTCTATAATAAAATATAAAATCATTGGCTGGAAAACCCGCTATATGTGTGTGGAAAGGCATTGATAAAAAATACACATAATGCTGAGGCTCATTGTAAAAATGAAGCACATTATGAATTTTTTAAAAATAAAAATTGAAATGATAGTCTTATGTGAATTTATTTTATTACATGTATGTTGACATGTATTATTTTCTCTTTTTCAGAAGAAAAGTTATGAAGGTAATAGTTACTAAAGAGTGAAATGTTAGCGAGGAGAAGTATAACATATAATGTAATGTAAATTCCTTCACTGAATTAAACGTTTTGATTCGAAAAAATGCTTACGTTTTTTTTCCATTTCATTTTTGTTTAAATAAATACTGCATAAATCGTAGGGATTGTTTTAGTGATTATACATCAAAGAGTAAGCTACAATTGCACAAAACAAAAAATTCAGAATTGTCCAAATGCGAAAATATAAATAAATTACAAAATATACGAAATAATTGGCATATAAAAAAGCTATACAATACCAAAGAATTACAAAAATATTGGTGTATAAAAAAGCTATGAGAAAACAAGATTCCAGATCATGTGTCTAAATAAAAAATAAAGTAAAATAAAAAAAAATCCTAAATTCATATAATGCTCCTGGCTATAACTCAACTAGTTTAAAATTTTGATTTACCATTTTTCAGTAACAAAGTGTTACAATACTTTATTTTCATACATTTTAGAAATGTATAAAAATGAAGTGGGAAGAAATTTTAGCTTTTAAAATATTTTATTTTATTTTCTTATTGTAGATAAGTAAATGTCGTCATGCTACATTTCTACTACAAAATGTCGATATGCTACATGGGGTTTTTGTAACAATTTTAAGAAAAGAAAAGTTCTTAATAATCCAAATGTTTCGCCAAATGTTTAGTTTATTCTTTACAATCCATCTTTTTGATTTAAAATATATTGTTCACTGATCCATGCATTCTCTTAGCTTAAAAAAATTATAACAGTTAAAATTGGCAAAAAAAAATTTACGATTGAAATTCACTGGCTCGCATAATTAATAATAGCAAATTTAGTGCTTGAAAAAAATGCTAATTGGATTTAATATCCATAAAATGCACCATAGAAATAATTAGCACAGCTGTTTAGTTTTTTCTAATGTAATCATAGGTTGTACTAACATTTTTATAATGAAACTTGTCACATTACCTCTAACACCAAGCGGACATGTAAGAGACAGAAATTAAATGCACTGTCACTTGAGAAATATGATATTATTTTATTTTATAACCGCCGTTGAACAGCTGATCGAGTCTAGGGTTTACGGCTTTTAATTTTCAACTCCATAATCTTGTAATTTTGAACTCAATCTAAAAGAGAGGGGAGCTCTTGGATCAAGTATTGGGAGAAATCGAATTCCGCACCCAGCTCGCACTGGACTACAGTGCTGACGTAAAAAAAACCTCCGTGGTAGAAGAATCATAGGTTAGAGTCCCCTTGTCATCAGGCTAACTGTGGAAGGCTATTGTATTTTTCTTCTCCATGTAACGCAAATGCGGGATAGTTGCATCAAAAAAATCTTCCACAAGGCAAATTCGTCCCAATACTCAATCCAGAAGTTTTCTTGTCTTCTAGATTAAGTTAAAAATGACCAGGCTACGAAGTTGGGCGTTAGTTGTCGTAAACCCTAAATTGGGTTGGCTGTTCAATGACGGTTATAAAAGTCTCGAATTGCTTGATTTCTAATTTTTTTTAAAAAGGTGGGATAGCTCACCATCCGGAGTCTGCTAATGTTTAATAAAACAAATATATTATGCGTAATTATATTATTAATTTTTAAAGAACCGATTTTATTTACATTTTTAATTTATTTAGTATCATTAATTTCAACGGACACGGATTTCCTTAATTAAACATAAAGCAAAAGAGTGAAAGTAAACGCAAAAGAAAAAATATATTGGTGGGATATGGATACGTATGTGCTAATCTTTCAAGTTGCTTCCATAAACGATATCCTTGTATCGTAACTGACATAAAAGCTGGCATATCTGTGAGTTGAAAAGCTCTTATGCTTCTGGAATGCATTTTATTAGATTTTGGCATTGTCAGACAACAGTCGAATCTATTTTGTCAGTATCACATCAAGTAATGAAAAATCTGCATTTAGAAAGCTTTATATAGGGACCACCGCAATTACGCATACAATCCATTCGCTTGAAAGTTTTTAAGATATAGCGAAATAAACACAAAGTGAAATTAAAATTACCGATCTCCTGTCTAAGCTATTGTGGCCAAACATACCAAACTGCAACTTTTTGTACCATTGAAATTGGAAATTAAATTTTAAATCAGCTACCTAACTGTTCCTGGACTGGAGCGTACAAATAGAGCATCCTACCACTAATTGGGAGATCCTTAGTTTAAATCCTGAAGGCAGCTAGCGAATCTATCACATATATCTCCTTCCTCATCACTTTTGAGACTTACACATACAGATTTTGAAACATGATATAATTTAATATCATTTTACTTATTTCCCTAAGCACCAGTTTTCATTGGAAAAATGATATATATTTCAATTATTATTTATTGTTTTAAGTTGGATTTCTTACATAGTTCATGTAAAAAAAAATTATTCACATTTGATGATTTAGATTTCAAACGCATGTTTAATGATATAATTTTAATCACACTTAGAATAAGACAAGACTTATTCTAAATTTTAGCAACAAAGGTCTAATCATTTAAACTGGAGGAAAACATAGTATGGAAGAATTTTATATGGTTAAATTGTCTCTATTTATTAAAAGTTCATTACCAAAGTTGTTGTACATTCTCAGAAATAAATTTCTAATTTTTGACGATCCAACAATTTTTGAGGGGTATATTGTTAATTTTGAGAATCATTTCCTTGCTAAATTACGTGACTCGGGACGAAACGCGAATTTTCAAATATATGGCGAAAATATTTCATCAACTCATTTTCATCGTAGTTCGTGAGGGATTATTAACTCTGATGAATTAACTAGAACGATAACTAGACGATCGGAAATAAAGTGACGAAACCAGCCGATAGGGTTGTATGGTGATCAAAGAGTTGAACTCGTACTGGGAAGATCCCAGCTTCGAACCTGGCTTAGGGTATGAGTGTAATTTATATCTTTTTCATAGCGTACTTGAAACAATATTTGCATGACTTTTTTGTGAAATTGAGGATGCGAAAATTTTGATAGATTCCTTTCGTAAAATTAATCGCAATTTTATATTATGACTTAGTAATCTGATCAAAGTCGAATCTGATTTGGATAAATAATCGAAACTGATTCTATTTGCAAGTCATCTATTCGTAAGTGCATTTTATTAATAGACTTAAATGGCCATAAGAAATAAAAAGTTGATAATATAAATAAACTTGTTAATTTTTTGTAATAATATCATTTACAATAACTTCATTAAATTACTTTTTTTATTTAATTACGATTTAAATATAATTATAATTATTAATATTAAATAAATTTTTTTAATAATTTTTATCATAAAAAATACTGCTGTTAAACTGAGTCTAAGGAAGTGGCTCTAAGGGAGTTACCTAAATTGCAGGGTTTAAAAAGTGGCAGGGTACATGATAAAATAATGTTTATAAAATTGGATACTTAATGCTTAGCGGTGCAAGTAAATCTGATCAATCTTCAAAAGTATTTTTATTTATTTATCTTGAAAATGTTAAGCCTTCCTAAAGTTAACTTCTTTGCTAAGAGTTCCATTTTTGTGAATTAATGTCAGTTTTTTTTTTAAAAAGTTCCATTTTCCAGAAAGTCTTTTAATTTTAAGTGCTGTTTCCAAGCATGTTTTATGACTTTTTGTTTCTTTAAATTATTGTTGTAAGAAAATTAATTTATCTTTCCCCGGAATTTTGTTTTATAGTCTGGAACTTGAGTTGATATTGAAAGTAACAAAAAAAGACAAATCATGCCAGATATAAGTTTTAACACTTATGATGGAATTTTTAAAAATATAAAAAAAAACAATTCAGGAAAGATAAAATATTTCCGATCTGAATTAAATTAAAAAATACTGCTTACATATGCGAAAAATAAGTACATCTCTTAATGAAATTTAAATTTTCTTCAGCTACAAGAGTTATTTATACCCAAAAAGATAATCTCATCTAATTGCTGTGATCCCGACTAATCCATCGAACTACTGTGAGCTATGAGGTATCTAAGGTACTCAAGTTTGGTGAAGTCAATTTTAAAACTCGAGCAAAATAGAATTGGAAATATAAGGAGGCAAGAAAGCTTACAATAAAAGAAACTTAGCATTTTTTTGAGAAAAAAAAACAAAGATATCTACAAAGTAAATACATACAAAAATTGCATCCATCTTTAAAATCTTTACTAGGAGCGGAGAGACATTCAAAATCTACCGAGGATTCTTGCACTGTAAGAAATTCTGAATCAAATTACAGTATGGAGATGGTACATTTTATTAGAGTGATTCAGTGATTTTACGGTAATTGTTACCGTAAAATTTAAGGTAGCTCAGAGTTTTCGTTCCTCAACTTGTTACAGAAAAAATAGATTTTACCATTTAAGTAAAAAAAAAAGTAAAAAGCACAAGCAACAGGCGTATCGGTACTTTTTACTGTAATTTGAAACGATTTTTCTTAAAAGATCATGAGAGGTATTAGGAAGATTTTCAACAAACCCTTGATGTTTGATTGACATAGTACAAAATTGACGCTTCTGATATACAAAATTTGGAGCAGAAGGGAAAATTGATGCTATGTGAACATGATTTATGATGCACGAATTGGAAACTACTTTTCCGTACTGACACTTGGGCTTTTATCTTAAAATTTCAAGTAAGGCTTCTTAATATAAGGCTTCATAAGATTTAAGGTAACATCACCTGAAATTACCAAAAATCATTAAAAAATACTACGTTTCAATGATAAGCTGGCTAAATAAAAAATTAATGACATCGAATATGTTTCTCTGCAATTGTTTCTAGGCTATTTCAAAATACGAATTATATCTTCCTGGAGAAGATTATAGAGAAGTCTCGTAATTGAGCCTGAAATTTATGAAATTTGCCACGCAAGACAAAATATCTTTCTGAGGTCAAAACAAAAAATTTTCAGGTCTTTTAGTTTTTCTGTAGCACTCAGGAACAGATATTTTCTTTTATATTGCCTGATATTTTTTAATAGATCATAGATAGTTTTGTATCACAGATTTTAAATCAACCATTTGATTCTTTCTCAAATCATCATTTTCTTTTACTTCTAAATTATTTTTTTACTCTATCTTTTGCTGAAATGTGCAAGTTT